GCGCGGAGTCGCGGTTATATACGATATCAACTGGAAATGGTTTGGTAGGGAAGATGTGGAAATTTGGGGGATCCTAGGTTGTTGGATTCGTCAGAGAAAATGGTATGGGGGACTGTTGTATCCAGTAGTAAGTAAGTAGACAGTGTTAAGGAAATCTTCTTGGCTGGGGTTGTGGGTGGAGAAAATAATACATTTCAAAAGAGAAGGTTATTGGAGGATTTTTAAGGTGGTGAAGAAATCAGCAGATGAGGCGGAACCGGACAACGTAAGTTAGAAAATGTAACGGACATAATTTTTTGTTATCCAGCGGTTCTTTTGATCCCAAGGATAAAGTCCGGCGAAGTTTACTTCGCGGATTAAGGAGTTTTAGTGCTGTATTTCCCAGGGTTATTTCGGAATTTTTATTGGGGAAAGACAAAAAACGGTCTTACTATTCGGAATTGTTTGTTGTTTCCCGACAGAGGAGGCAAAGATAGAGTGCATGACTCATGTCTGCACAGGACGTAACAAAGCCAACAACTTTTGTTTGCAAACATTTCTTATACGACCTCTATTTTCTAAGATATTTACAGAAATATTTACAAAATTATTGGTTTCAATAATTTTTTATTCAAATTCTATCAACTTTACCGAAAAAAAACTAGAAATAAAAATTATTTATTTTTTTCTTTTAGAGCTCTAAGAATTTAAAAAAAAAATTTTTAATTAAATTCTTAGTACTGCATTTTCTTAAAATTTCTTGAAATACTATAAAGTTTATAAAAAATTCTGAAAAACGAGAGAACATTGTATATCGTGATACGGGCGGTCTCATCACCGCTGGGCTGGTACCTATATCACGCTCGCGATTGAGAATTGGTGGAGAAACAAATTGATGATGGAAAATATAGTATAATGTGTTAATCAAAAGGGGGTTTGTTTCGATTTTGAAGACAACTTCAGTTTTATTGTACTCTGTAGGACTAAATTATTTATCGAGTATTCCCAGTAAAACCCAGATAGCACATGACGTCCTACGGATGTCCATTTTATGTCCCTTTTACGTTCACAAATCCATGGACATGCAATGGATGTCCATAAGACGTCAATATTCGATTTTGGACATCCGTTAATATCCAATTTGGATGCCCATAAAATATCCGATCTTGGACATAAATGTCTTAAGAATAAAATTTCATTATAGGCATGTTGAAAATATGCGCAATCAATGCCACATATCATTCCATCCCCAGCCAGCAACGTCACGTCATTTTTATGTCGATAAATGATGATTACCAGTCCTAGAGTTCGTGTAACTAATAACTGACGTTTAAAAAACGTGGACAATTTTGTCGTGATAGTAACATCATTTAAAGACGTCTATAATACGTTTTCGAAAGGTCATTTTTAATCAGCTATTTGAAAAGCAAAGAATGTGACAGATTTTTATCTGATGTTCATTTATATCAACTGTGGTGTATGTAACCAATAGAATATTATTTACACACGTTGCTATTTACTTATTATGTGCTTATATCTCAAGCATTTGGCTCTTAGATATAAATCTTTTAGTACTTGTCCTACCATTTCTTACTCACGAGCTTTGCATCGTCATAATTATCCAGTTAGTAGGATGATGTTCAAAGATATGTTAATGAGAAAATGTCAACTCAGATAACACAGAGATGAATAGAATATCATAGAGAATTCATTTTAAAGAATACCTAAATAATTAAAAAAATGAATATCTGAAGAATTCCTGAAGAATTATCCGAGCCTAATTTATTCTAAAGTATTATTTGGAACTTTATTATAATAAATATTTTGCGAATCATTACTTGTGTTACGTTCCGTAGGGCCTCACGTACCTCACATTGCGTAACTAATTCAACAACAGTTCACAGAAAATACTGAACGAAACAAAATTTGACCTGCGTATTCAGAAAAGCGAACTGCCAATATATCTTACACAAATACACACGCTCACCCACGTCTCACCTTAATTATAAATTCAAACCTCAAACTTTAATACGCTCCACTTTCAAATCTTGGTGCCCCCATTACTTGTCTGAGGCCGAGGGTATTACGTTCCGTAGGGCCTCACGTACCTTTACACTGCGTAAAGATCGATTACTTATCTGACCGGGTTACAAGAGTTAAGTACACAAAAGGAACACGTAGATTTCAAGCCTTATCAAAGAATCATGAATCATACGCATGTTCATATATGGTCTGATCGAACATTTCCAGAATTTCTATTTTTTTCCCACCAATCCGAGCTTCAGCCTTGTTACTAAGCAAGACATCTCCAACGAATCCGGTAAACGCCATCCCCGAAATTTCCCATTTTCCGAAACTATAAAAAGTCCGATCCGTATGGCTTCGAGGCTTACTATCATTACGACGTCCACGAGTATTACTTCTGTATTCATTCGTTCATTGTCATTTACGACGTCTATCACTACGAGTATCACTTCTGTAATAATTATCATAACTACCACGACGAGTATCATCTCAAGAATCAGAATCGAAGGAAGAAACTATCTCAGGAGATCCAGAACCATCCATTTCTCTCCTCGTACACACAAACAGTAAGTTATTGTTTTATTATCCGGTTTTCCGCGTCTCAATTTCGAATAAGTCCGGACAGACATATCTTTACTTTGTCGAAAACTCAATCGCAATAATTACGGTGGACATTTATTATCGTCCAGAATTCTGAAATCGGTATGTCCTCCAATAATCCTGAACTCTAACGCTCATCCTCACCCCATACATTCACAAACACACACACACACCAGCTCATTGTAATTATAAATAAATCGTATATTATTTCTTTTATAAAGAAACATTAATTTCTTTTGTTTACCCGTCCTCTCCTATTATCGCTCAAAGTCCAGTTCCAAGTAAAGAGATTCAGTCCTCTGACTCAAAATCGGACCGCTCGCCTTACTTCGTCGGGCTAGTAAAGTGACACTTCTGGTCGATGACTAGCTCTTCAACCTATAGGTACAGGTGAGGCATTCTTTATGTTGCGTTCTCTTACAGGACGTCTTTGTCTTCAAACTTTTTCAGTGCGCCAGAGCGTTCTTTATCTTCAACATCGAAATCATTATTTTTGAAGCGCCTAAACCAATCTCTGCATGTTGTTTCCGACAGAGCATGGTCGTCGTAAGTCTCAACAAGAATTCTGTGTGTTTCAGCTACAGATTTTTTTTGAACAAAGTAGTGCAGTAAACTTCCCCGTAAATACTTTTCTTTTTTTGACACGAAACTCGACATGTTTAACACTATGAAAAAAATGTTGTTTACATTTCGGCGAAATGACACACTCAATTTTAAGCTTGCTTATAGTACTTTCTTATAGATGCGTTACCATCTTAAATTACATGCACGCAGTTCTGGTAGCACCATCTATTGGAAAACAGCGAGAACTTACTCAAGGTCCTGATATTGAACTTTCAGTTATATAAAAACTGTTTTATATACAATTATATATAACTGTAGAAAGTTAGATAGAAGTGTATAAAATTATGCTTAATTCGTTATAAAATTATATATAATTTTATACGACATTTTACATACGCACAACTTTTTATATGGCTGCTTCATGCTTCTTATATATAACTATATACAATTCTTCATTAAATATATTCTTATATATAACTATATACAATTCTTCATTAAATATGATAATGTGGCAAATATGATACATTAATTATGAAAACTTACTTTAAAAGAAATCACAAAATAAATCACAAAATTTGTCAAGGAAGATAATATAGTAAATTTGTTGTAATATATTTTGGACAAAACTTTAAGTATATCAGGATTGTGCTATATAAAAGGAACATGATGTGAAATAATCCGTTAAAACGAAAATTTCTTTTAATCTGCAGCAATATCCATCTATGTACTGACCATAACAAGCATTTATTAAATTTGACGATATAACGAAACGCGCTAATCGTAACGGCTTTAACGGTGTTCTTAGGACTTAGACAATGTACTTTTATAGTGGTCACAGAATGTTATTATATTTATTAACAAGCATTGAAATATATTTATCAGTAAAACATAATTTTTTATTTTTTATAATTATATAAATATACATATATGTGTATAATTATACATATATGTGTACAATATGTATATAATTCACACATACATGATAATATACAATATATAACTATTAATATTCTTTGTTTGACTTTGGTTTGCAAATATTTTGTGTTTAAAATAATATATTTATATATAAATTATTATTTTATTACATAAGAGCTCTGTTATTTTGTTGACAAGAATCAATTAGATTAGTTTCAGATTTTTAAACAAATAATATTATGAATAATTTACACAGAAAATATTTAGAGCAAATTACACAACACTCAAATACTTAAAAAGGTTTTAGCTTAATCTTTTATTAAATATCTAAAAACAGTGATGCAATCACAAGCACAATAATATATTTTACTAATATTTGTTGGATAATTAATGTTGTTCCGTCATTTCAATGTTTGCTCATAAATATATTATAATATTCTGTGAATACAATGAAAAGATACATTACGAAAGTCCTAAGAACATCCTTAGAACCAATACAATAATCGCGTACTGCACGACCGCAAAGATTTAAGGAATACGCTTTAGCATGTTCCAAACAAAGATGGGTGATTAATTCGGATCAAAGATTTTTTCAAAGATTAGTTAGCTTAGAGTGATCTTTCTAATATATTGCCGAAATAACTAATTTCTAATATATTACCGAAAAAACTAAAGTTTTATTAAAAATTACAACAAATTTTCTAAAATAATTTTCTTGGTGAACTTTGTACTTTGTTTTGGATATTTTAAAGTAGATATTCATAAATAATATATCACGTTTGCATATTGTTTCTTTCCACTAACGAATATTTCTAGTTCGTCATCTCAACAGTTACAATTTACCTTGTCAACAACTTTTTCGATACATACAAACATACTTGTACATTGTTATTAATGTTCTGTGTACTGTTACCAGTTAAATATCTATATATAACCCGTATATACATTTCTGTTATATTACGTGAGTTGCCGAGCTTCGTGCATTATTTTTAAATAAATGTTACAATCAAACAACATATAAACGTGAATTTATAAGACGTATCGCAATGAATTTCTTGACAAAATTAATTTTTTCTGGTCCATACACAGAAGAAAGATATAATAAGTTTTTTAATCCAAACGTTTGTCATGTTTGCAAGGAGCCCAGCGAAGACTTGATAACGTGTAATCGGTGCTGCATGATTTCTTACTGTTCCGAGGAGCATGAGGCGATGCATAGAAACACACACTCTCAGATTTGCAAAGCTATAGGAAGGGTAATACAAGACAAATTATTCTCGAATACGTATCGTAGCTTGGGAGAATGGATAGAATCACGGAAAGGAATTTTACATCAAATGCCCTCTATTCTGTCACGTGGCTTAGCTCCATACGAAATAGAGATAATAATGTGCGCAAAATCGTGTGGTGTGTGTTTCCGACAGACAAACATAAGGCGCTGCAACATTTGCTATTCTGCTAATTTTTGTGATGATGACCAAATACTATTTAAAAAATTGCATGATGAGTGCTGCCATGACTTGTTGCACTTACTGAACATAAATATCGCCCATATAAACGGCCATTTTGAAGAAGCTTTACCTCAAATCAAAAGATATAAGTTCACCGGATTTCCTGCTACGGCACCTTTTCATGATACTTTTACATTTATAAAGAACTACCTACCCAGTTATACTACATTGCCTGCTTATGAGTTGACTTTAGACCATTCTATCGTAAGGTTCCAGTTGTCATTAGAGCAACTTATTCTTTCTGATAACTCATCCGGCCCGCTGACGTTATACAATGCGTTGCAGGAATCAAATTTAATATCTCTTTCAAAGAAGAAATTTAAATATATCATTCATGTTATAGATGTAAACAAAATAGATATAACATATTTGAAAACGTGGCATATTTTCTTACATTTATATAGAAAAATAGAGGAACTGTATATTGTATTTATAAATTCTTTAAATTTTGAATCGATCGATTTAGGCGTTGTGTGTATTACGTGCAGGCGCTATAAACAGAAACTTTATGTTACAAGGGTATCAGAACCATATCACGATTTTGTACGCTTGGATTCATATGAAAAACCGAATGTGATCGTCCTGTTTCACATAGAATGGCTTTTCTTAAATACATGGTCTAAATCTTTAGAAGCAATAATAGCGCAAGAGTGTCCGTTACTTTTAACCGCTATTTCGGAAAATACAGTACAAGAATGCATAGACAAGATACAAGAACAAACAGGTACAACCAGAAATCGATTACACAGAGAAAATAAATTCCGCGGTTATATGCCGCATAGAAATTATATGACTGGTGGATTTTATTACCGAAATATGCATTTTATTATGTTTTCATAAATTAAATCACATGATCGACCTAGGCACAAGGTTATGTATTGTTCCTATTTATATTTTGATATAGTTGATGATATATAATTTTTAATAATATTCAAGAATAAATTGGAAATTTTTTACTGAGGCATATATTCAGTCATAAATTGATAGTATTTTTGTTAAAATATAATTGCTCATTTGTCAGTATATAATTAATTAGTATAAGGTGTGTTAGTATATGATTTTTCATTTTCTCAAAATATGTAAAGAATGTTGAATATGAAATAATAGAATGTTGGCCATATGTACATAGTTTCTTTAAGTTTTACAATTTGTCACATTCTGCACCATATTTATAGGCAATATTATATGCAGCTAGGATCATTCTATGCCTATAACTGAGTTGTATGTAATTATCTTACAAATCTCTATTTCATTGATCACGTTCTACAAGTGATAGGTGCTGATAGTAATTTCAATGTTTCATGTACATTATTTTCTTCAAACTGTGCTTTTTAAACAAATATTATAACTTGTTAATATCGACTTTTCCAATTAAAATTGTCAAAATATGTTATAAAATATGAAAATAGACCTGGAATTGTTAGCGTCTCTCGAGTTATCATCTGTAATTGCAAAATTAAATACAAGTGTAATTATCGTCGGCAATAAAATATAAGTCTTTTAATAGTACACATTCATTAGGAAATTTGTATTATGTTTTTTTCCTGAATTTGTGTAAAAGCGTAGTTCATACTGTATTGAACGAAAGTATGTATACGATTGTATAATATTATATGTTATGTATCGTCCCTATTGTTGCGCTACTTTGTTCGATTAATGGTAAGTATAGCATAGAAAAGCTTTCTGGTCACATTATAAGGATGGGTAATAAACAAAGTGTTATAACTAGTCACATTGAGAAAAAATATATGTGTTGTTTCTGAGAGATCTTCCTTTATATAGTAGTTGCCTTATAAGCGGGTGTGGGTGAGGGAGACCGGAAGGGGGGTTTTACTGGGTAGACGGGTTGCCGGATTAGACTGGTTTTTTGTCCATTATCCCTGTTCAGACTGTTATGGTGCTTTCAAATTTCCAATTACAGGGTTCCCTGTATTTCCTAGGGAAGTAGTTATTGGTTTTGACCAGTACTGTTATTTCGTTAAAGCGGATTTTATGTCCGCTTTCTGTTGTGATGCGCTAAAGCTGACTGCGTTACATTTTTTAGTTTGACTGCAATTTGATGTTTCTTTATATGTGTGCTCACCGTTCTTCCGGTTTCTTCTATATAGACTTTGTCAAAGCAGCAGGGTACTCTATAAACTCCAACAATCTCAACAAAGATAATGGACAAAAAATCAGTCCAATCTGGCAATCCGGCCTCCTGGTTTCCAAAACATGACAGACAACAAATTTCTCACCACCATCTTTCCTGCTAACCTCCTTTCCCTCTTGTCTCCTCACCCTTCTCCCCATATGCTAACTGCCATATAAAGGAAGACCTCTCAGGAGCAACTCGGCATCGGATCGTTCGTCCCCAATGAAGCGGACTGAAATGTTCGCGAAACATCGGAATCAAACAAAGAGGATTCCATGCGGTACAAATCCGGAAACCAAATCTAATATGCATGGAAACCGCGAAAGCCAATAAAATCAAATCAAGTACTTTTATGGAGAGTGTGTTCTTGGTAAAATCAACTTCTTTAAGAAATTTACGCTATCTTTACCAAAACACCTTCCTACCCTAATATTTCTAAAAAGATGCAGGGACAACAACGTTGTCTCAAAGTTCCTATAACTAAAAAACCATCTTGGTAGGAAGAAGGCAAACAGTATTCTGCTGAAAACCGCAGCCATGCTAGCAAAGAAGCGCATCTCATACACAAAGATAATGGTTAGTAAAACCTTCCAAAAGCTTTTCCAAATCTTCCTTTCCTTAGCCTTGACGTTTTGACTGGACTTATGGCTCACACTGGACCACATACAACGTACAAACAATCGCAAAACACTTACGTACAGTCATCCCGACGACTGATGGAAAAGTGTCACAAACTAACATCACAAAAAGCAATTACACTTTCTCCACCAAACACAGGTAAAAAATCTATCCCACAAAGCTTTTTTCACAGAAACCATTTCCATCCTCCATAAAGGATCAAACTTTGCAATGACTCTAACTAAAATACCTAAGGAACAAATAAACAATCAGATAGAATATTTCCTGTTCCTCCGGAACACTTTTATGGGGACACTTATATGGAAACTTTCATTTATGAGACACATATTGCAACAGAAACAGAATTGGTAGCCCAAATTACTGCTGCAGCATATCAGGTTCAGAATATTCCTGTAGTCTCTGAACGTGTGTGACAATCTATGTTTCGACAATGTCACCTTTTGTGTTGTAGCACATGAAGGAATTTTTGAATATTTATTATAAATTGAACTAATCAATTGCACATTTTTGTTCTATTCTTTTGTTCATTGTTTGTTAAAGATTAAAATATATATGCGTAATTGAAATAAATTTAATTTTTCTAATTATATGTTCGTTTTTTGTTAAAATCATAAAATTCCTATTTTGTATCTATTTTGTACCTAGTATTAAAACAAAGCGTCGTAGAGAAAAACATTATTAACAAAATATATTTGTTTTTATGTACTCTATTTCCCCTCAAAGTTTGTCGGTAATATTTTTACACACTGTAGAGTCCTCTGCTCCTGTGGCAAAGTCTATATAGGAGAAATCGGTGGGATGCTAAGCACATGTATAAAGGAACATTAAAGCGCAGTCAAACTGAAAAATGTAACGCAGCACTAGCGAAACACAATCTAGAAAGCGGATGAAAAATATTGTTCAACGAAATAACAGTATTGGCCAAAACCAACAACTTCTTTCCTAGGAAATACAGGGGAAATTTAAAGCATCCCATCATTCTCAACAAGAATAATGGACAAAAAATTAGTCCAATCTGGCAATCCGTTCTCCCGATTTCCAAAACATTACAAACAACAAATTTCTCACTACCTATACCTCCAGAACTCTTACCTTCCTGGCTCTTCCCTCCCA